GCGTCACGGTAGCGGGAGATGGGGGACGAGCAGAGACAGTTCTTGACACAGATATGATTTATAGAAGCGGTTCGGGCGGGACTGGGCGGGGCGGGCTGTGAGAACGCGTCCCGCGTCCTCGTCGCCTGCACGCCTGCCGCCCGCCCCACCGCGAAGTTCCATTCGAAACTCTGATCTCTGGAGTGATGAAAGATCACCCTTTCTCCGTCCTTGTCGAAACGTTTCTCGCGACGCCGCCGACCGCACGCAAGCACACACACGCCCGCCGCACGACCCTTCGTCGCGACCCTCGCGTCCTTTGGAGGTCCCCGGCGTACGCCGCCGGCCTTTGTGCAGCCCCTCAGCGTGACCAGGACGACGACGAGGAGGAGGAGGGGCCAACACGACGCCGAAGCAGTGAGGAGGCGGCGACGACGACTTTGTTGAGCGGTTTCGGTTCTCTCTGCAGAGCGTCGCATTCTGGGAAAGACAGAGGCGAAAGGCGCGCGAACGCCGACGCGCGAAGCGGAAGCTCGGCGCCCGCGGCGGAGACAGAGGGCGACCCCCCCCCCCCTCCAACACACTCACAAACGGGGGGGAGGGGGGGAGGGTGTAAAAAACCACGCGCAATTTAGCACTTGCTCTGTACGCGACCGCGGCGAGGGGTACAGTGGCGGGGGAGGGGGTGGTTTTATAGCCGGTGGCGCCAACGCACACATGTCCGTGTCTCTGTCGTGTCCTGTCGTCCTGTCAGCCTCACGCACAGCGCGCGCGCGCGCGCGTGTGTGTGTGTGCGTGCGTGCGTGTGTGCGTGTGTGTTCACTCCGCTTCCTCAACCGGATGAAAATGTTTCGACGTTTTTGGAGTCCGTAGTCGCTTGTTTCGTTTTTTTTTACGCCGACCCCCGCGCTCGTATATAAGCCCATATTTTTTATATTTTTTTAAGTAAGCAAAAAACCATTTCTGAACGTTTTTACTGTTTATTTGTTGCGCTCATTCTGCTCGGAGAGGCATGTCCGGGATTGGGCGTGGTGGTGTTGGACGCCTCCTGCCTGCCCCCCGACGCGCACGACGCCAGTTAGTGAACGGGGTGAAAAATATATGCAACCCTCGTATCTCCCCTCCCCCCTCCCCCTCCGCGGCGTGTAAGATACTAATGACAGAGATAAGCAGGTCGAGGAAGGGAAGAGAGCGCGCCAGGGACACGTCACGTGACAAACGGACAAACGGGGGAGGACGCGTGCGTTCCCGCCCTTCCTCCCGCTCTCCCTCCCTCTCCCTCTCCCTCTCTCCCTCCCTCCCCCTCTCCCTCCCTCGCTCTTTAAATTCATACCCTCGCTCACGCGAAATTGTTTGCAAACTGTTTTGCTCATTACTGAAAATTTCCGAAGACGCTTTCAAAAACGCGCATCAAAATTGCAGTTTTACTTCCGGGGTTTTCGTGTTTCCCCTTCGTTGTTATGGCGCCTTATTTGGTTGTAGCTACCACACAACTCTCTGCGGCGACGGCTGGCGGAACGCGTGAGGTCTGGAGGAGGGCCGGCCGCCGCCGCCCGCGGACTCCGGAGGCCGGCAACCCATCTGGCACGGTGACGAGCGGGCAGCCTACCCCCGCGGCGGCGGGCGGGCTGAGGCTGCTCCAGCGCGCCTGCGGACACTCGCACGACAGTATAGAGGCGCTTGCTATTGGATAACGTACAGGTCACACTGCTGCAGGTAAACGGCAATGTATCAACTAGTCTTCTAAACCCTTACCTAAGCGCACACTATTGATAGTGAATGAAAACGTACATTTCGGGAACACTCGAGACATTTAGACCTTGGGCCGTGGGTCCCTTGAGACTCCCGTTTTTAGGGGGTTTGGTGCTGTAACTACCTTTTCATTTGGTGTTACTAAGCGCAACACGAATCGTTGCGCTTTCGCCTACCTTTTGCTTTGGCACGACCTTGCCATTCTTGCCATGGAAATAATTTCGAGTAATTCAGAACAGATTTTATTGCCACACTGCGGACTCTGCTGTACCGTCTGCCGAGCAAACTGAAGCCGCCCCGAGGCTCGCTCTTGCAGAGATGAGCGTATTCCACGCTACTGACGACCGGTCAGCTCTCTGCGTGCCTAGCCCGTCAGTCGAGGCGGACGCTGGGTTGGGGCGCGTGTCGACTTGGAAGCTGAGGGAGACCCGAGCCACCCCATTCGCACTATCGGCGAGTCTACTCGGCCAGAGGCTCGGAAGCTATTGCTCGGTGGAGTGGTTGGTCTGACCTTGTCGGAGGATAATGCCCTAAAGACTCATCTTTCAAACTTCATACGGGGGAGGCCTTTCCAATTAAACACCCTTTAATTTGCAAACCCCAGTTTCAAATAACCACCAGTAGTAAAAGGAAAATACGTACACAACTTAAATGGAAGTTTTAAAAAGCCGCGGAAACATACTAAACCCCCTCATGGAAAATAGAAAGTCCACGTGAAAAAAGTCCAAATTCAGATGGAGACTAGACTGGCACTTAAACGATTTTCAGAGTTTTAAAGGTCTTTTTTAAAAGGCTCGAGAGCTAAACTTATGGTCTCAAACTAGTCGCGGGTGTCACGCGTGCTTTTGCGACAGGGCGAGTATCAAACCGTGCAGTTTCGTTCCAAAGCATCTTATCTTCGTCTCCGTTGTGCTGGAGCCACCACTTATGGCCAGTACTGGCAGTGGTAGAGCGGGCCGAACGCCCGACACTTAGGCAACATGTCTAACACCCTCGTGGGTTGCCTACCCGCCAGGGGCTACGGACCAGTTCCGCAAGATCCATTACAGTGCTGCTGGAAGAGCAGTTGTATAGAATGATATCAAAAGAGTCTGGATCGAGCCATGGAGCTTTATGGTCAGACAGTGGGACAACTCTAGGAAGGTAACCTTCGGGTAATAAGGAACAATATCCAACCCGAAAACCCTAGCAAAAGTACATAAATAATGAAATATATATTTTTTTGAAACGAAACTGCACGTTTTTTTGTTGTTTTTTTTATAATCACACGACACCCAAAAGAACGTCCTCCCGATTTCTGTTTAGCGAACCCAAATTAACCAGCAAAGTATCCGCACGCCCTATAGAAACACTACGTGTGCAAAGTTGGGGAAAGATGAGTCAGTCGGGGGCAAGTCTCCTCGCCACTGTCAAGGTAGCGGACACGGGTCTCGATCATGCGACAATCAGAGGTCAGTGGCCGTAGGCACGGGTCCGCGGCGCCGAGTGCGGGCCCCCCACCCGCACGGCGGCAGGTCGTCTCCAGACAGTCGAGTGGACTCACCAAGCCAGAGTCTATCCTGCGGCGGCTATGCGGCGGGTGGTGGCTGGAGGTGGAGACGGGGTGGGCAAAAGTGAGCCGGGCAGCCGGGAACGGAGCCGCAGCGTGGCAAAGAAAAGACTCAAGTCATTTGTTGCAACTTGCAACGACTAAAACTACACCCAAGAACAACTGATTTCTTGGACCAAGTACATTGTAGTTGATCTCTAATTTTTCAAGTACGGATCAGTTGAATCAGGACACCGACGGGCGGTGGCTGCCGGTACGGCAAGGGCACGGACGGCGGGAGGAGAAAGCGGTTCGAAAGGGGAGGG